ACATTCAAATAAAGATTTTAAAATGCAAATTAAAATGTCACTAATTAAACAATATAATATACATATATGTTCAGCTAATTGTCAGCCTGTATGCTTCTCGTAGACAAATTAATGAATATGCATATAAACAGCCTTTTAATTAACAGAGTAGAATAATCATGGCTGATAGTAAGACATGCAAACGTAAAAGAACACCAAACTGGAAGCAAGAACAGCTGTTACTTCTTGCCGAGCTGGTTAATGAAAACAAGGATATAATCAAAGGAAAATCTGGAGTTGGGATAACCTCCAAAACCAAAGGCGATACCTTTATAAAAGCTCATTATCGTCAAACGTTTCTAAAATGTTTACGTTCCAAGGCAGATTGCGGGCAACAGCTATTTTAGGAGAGTTTGTGGCTTGGTCTTAGTGACAGAGGAGTCCTCTTCACTACTCTTAATGCTTCACAGATTTAGGAGCTAGTTTTAGTGCAAAAACGCTTTGTAAAATACTCTTAGAGCAAAAATTTAGGAGTTCTAAATTTAGGACTGACACACCAATTATTTTTAAGATTTTCTCCTAAATCAGCAAGTTATGAGCTACTTTTAGCCTTAAGATGTTTTGTGAATACGGGCCCTGATATGTACTTTCAGTCGCTTTCTTAAACTTGGAGCAGTGTTTTTTTTTCTTGCCTTGTGAATGCATTTAAATTGATGATATCTTTCATAATGAACTCTTAATCTTCAGCAGAGAAGTGAATTGTGCCTCTCCAGGTCTGTGTGATTGGCTGTTTGCGGCTGATGTCACCTTGCAGGTGCACAAGCTCCAGAGTTAAACATAAACTCGTGTAATATTCGAGTTACTCGTGTAATAGTTTAATAACCCTATGTACATAGATCTTTATTTGTGTTATTGATTATTTATTTTAACTTTTATTTTATTATAAAAAATTTTAATGTATCATTATTATTATTCTTGTGCTTATTGTTATTATCTCTTTTTTTGTATTCATTGTGTGAGTTGTCGCTAAAGAAAGGTTAATGATAAATTCTCGATCAAACCCCGGGCTGACAGAGAATGTTTACAGTAAGCAGTGTGAACCCGCTGAACCCGATCTCAACCGGGCTGGATTTGTTTGGTTTTGTCTCTAAACTGAAAGATTACATTACATTACATTACATTATAATGGCATTGGAAAGTTTGTTGAACTAGCTTTGTGTAATGGGCCACAGACCTCAGATGTCCTGCCTGATCCTCCTCAACTCTAGGTTACATAAGTAACACTGGTTCCCCGAGGGAACGAGACGCTGTGTCGAAAACGCTTTGGGAACTCCCCTGTGCCCACGCTCTGAATCACATGTGAAATCAGTCCAATGGAATGGCGAAACGTCATGGGCAGGGTGACGTAGAGACCAGAGAGCTTAAAAGCACATCTGAAACAAGCAGCGTTAGCTTCTGATAAGTTGAAGCAAGTCACTCACAGGGATGCAGGAAGTATGGCAATGCGACGCAGCGTCTCGTTCCCTCGGGGAACCAGGGTTACATAAGTTACCTAGAGACATTCCCCTTCAGGAACTCGAGCTGCATCGAAAACGCTTTGGGAATGAGTATGCCCACACCACCATACTGACAAATGCCTGTCTAGTGTGAAATCATGGCGAGCACCGCTAAGACAGATGCACCTGAAAGTCTGGAGAGGACCATACTTCTCCTGGCCTCAAGCACAACGAAAGAAACATGTACCAACGGGTTTCGCCCCAGTGAATGACCACCCAAAGGGATGTGGAAAGCAGCTATGGCCACCACGAAAACTCTAAAGGTGGAGGGGGTCAAACCTGCGAAGAATCGTTCCTGCAGGAACTCCAGAACTGAACCAACAGGGCAGTTAACTGGGAGCAGCTGACGATATCCGCACCATGAAGTGAACACAACTCACTTCAAGGAGTACAGTTTCCTCATGGAGGGAGCTCTGGAGTGGAGTATGGTCTCAACAACCTTAGTTGAGAGACAGGAAGCTACGAGTTGTGCCCCCTCAGGGGCCACACCCACAGTTTCCACAACTCCAGACGGGGTGAAAGATGGTGTCCCCCGCCTGAGAGAGGAGATCCCGCTTTGACGGGAATCTCCCATGGAGAGTCTTGAGAAGGGCTACCAGGTCCGCAAACCATGACTGGCCAGGCCAGTACGGAGCTACTAACTTAGGAGACGCACCCCATACCGGCAAACTCTCTCCAGAACTCCCGGGAGCAGAGCAATCGGGAGAAATGCGTACAGACGCAGCCTCGGCTACGTCTGTACCATAGCATCCAGTCCGAGAGGAGCTGGATGTGAGAGGGAGAACCAGAGGGGACAAAGTAAGGTCTCTCGAGACACAAACAAGTCCACCTGGGCTTGCTCTTTCGAAACTTCTTCCAAATCTGCTCCACCACCTCAGGGTGGAGCCTCCATTCCCCAAGCCTTGGCCTTGTCTGCTCCCATATTGACTGTCTGTGCGAACCAGCACATGATGACCTCTCAGGTCCGGGAGAAAGTATTTCAGAGCTTGAAACACGGCCAGCATCTCCAGGCAATTCATGTGCCACTTGAGATGGTGACCACCCCATAGACCCTGGGTGGAGCGGTCACTCATGAACGCTCCCCATCCCATCAGGGAGGAATCCATCGTTAGCGTACGTGACGACAAGGAGTCTCCAGCACTGGGCCTTGTGACAGAAACCAAGGTTTCCTACACATGTCTAAGGCACGTAAGCATCGCCATGTGACCTCAATCACAAGAACCCTATGGTCCTGAGCCACCACTGCAAGGGTCTCATGTACAGCAGGCCAAAAGTTATCACATTGGATGCAGCTGCCATCAGACCTAACAGTTCCTGGAACTGTTTGACAGTGAGTGACTGCCTTCTCTCACTCTCTTGACTGCCGTGAGGATTGACTCGATCCGAGCAGGAGACAGACGTGCCTGCATCGTGGTTGAATCCCACACTACGCCCAGAAAAGTGGTTCTCTGTAATGGAGAAAGCACATTTTTCTTGGCGTTCAGTCCCAACACCAGTTCTTTCACATGGGCGAGGATGACATCTTGATGCCGAGTCTCCAACCGCTCTGATTGAGCTAATATCAACCAATCGTTGATATAATTCAGTATGCGGATGCCCCGGAGTCACAAAGGAGCCAGGGAAGCATCCACACACTTGGTGAAAGTGCGGGGTGAGAGTGAAAGACCGAATGGAAGAACCCAATATTGGTAAGCTTCGCCTCCGATAGCAAACCTGAGGAACTTCCTGCTTGGGAACGATGAAGTACCAGCTGTAGAACCAGGACTCTGTCACGAGGAGGGACCACCTCGATGGCCTCCTTCCTCGAGAGAGTGTTTACTTCCTGTTCCATTACCAGAGCCTGCACTCTGCAGGACCCATTGTGAGACATTTGGCAGAAATTGCCACGCTGCCAGAAAGTCTACTAAGGGAATCATTCTCTCGAGACTGACCTCTGGTGTACTTAGAGCGGCTAGCTCAGTGCTGGAGACCTCCTAGGAGGTAGCGAGCCTCCCAGAACTGCTACGTTTTCGGGCGGATGCTGAGAGATGTGCTTGCTGGAGACCACTGTGCCCTGAAACACCGGGGATGGCAGGGTTGACAGGCCGGTCTCCTGAGGGCACTGAGGAGAGACGGGCACTGTATGATGAGGTGTACACCACACTTTCCCAGAGAGGCCTGCCCTCAGACGTCCTGAGCCATGGGCATCAGGACGTTTTGGCTGAAGTCTCCTATTGAAAATGACGGTTCTCAGACCCGTCATCTCCTTGGAAGACTTAGACTGACACAACCAGAGCCTGCTCGGGGCAGGACCCAATGAGATACGTTTGGCAGGGGCTCCCACACCGCCAGGTGACCTATTAAGGGAACCAGTCTCTCGAGACTGACCTCTGGTGTACTTAGAGTGGCTAGCTCGGTTCAGAGGAAGAGAGGTATAACACCATGCTCTAACTTGAGAATTTTTTATATACCAAGAGAGCACTGTATTTAGAGAGTGAGGGAGGAGAAAGGGTGAGGCCTGTCTCCGATCCTTCTGCTGAATGATATATATATATATATAAATATAAGTATACAAAATATATATCTAACTTCTCAAAGCCAGATGAATATTCATCATTTAATTCCTCAGACTTGCAGCCAAACAACCAGACGTGAACATGGTCTGATTATAATATATGATGTAACAAAAATAATCGTGATAAATAGCCTGCAAACACATTTATACATTTGCACACGTTTGGGGGAAAGAGAGAGAAAAGGAACCTCCCATCTGCTCACAAATTCCCCCGACATTATTTGCTGCAGACCCGTAATGCACGCGTTACCGAGGCAAGCCACTCGATTCTATATTGCATAAGACTTTCTATCCTCGAGAAGAAACGCTAGCGGGAGCAGAGCTAAGCATCCAAGGAAATGCACACTTGTACACTAGGGACATTTTATGAATGAACACAGCCAGCTCCCTCAGCTCCCGCAATGTGCGTGCTCCACTCCAAAACAAACCACACATAAATCGTGTGCATCCCCACCCCTAATTATAGCGAGGGCAGGGAGAAACGAGCAATCTAAAATGCAGTATGCTTTTCATATGCAAAAGATTGAGATGGCGAGTCCTCAATCTCATATACAGGTGCATCTCAATAAATTAGAATGTCGTGGAAAAGTTCATTTATTTCAGTAATTCAACTCAAATTGTGAAACTTGTGTATTAAATAAATTCTATGCACACAGACTTAAGTAGTTTAAGTCTTTGGTTCTTTTAATTGTGATGATTTTGGCTCACATTTCACAAAAACCCACCAACTCACAATCTCAACAAATTAGAATACTTCATAAGACCAATAAAAAAAACATTTTTAGTAAATTGTTGGCCTTCTGGAAAGTATGTTCATTTACTGTACATGTACTCAATACTTGGTTGGGCCTCCTTTTGCATGAATTACTGCATCAGTGCGGTGTGGCATGGAGACGGTGTACTTAGAGCGGCTAGCCCAGTGCTGGAGACCTCCTAGGAGGTAGCGAGCCTCCCAGAACTGCTACGTTTTCGGGCGGATGCTGAGAGATGTGCTTGCTGGAGACCACTGTGGCCTGAAACACCGGGGCTCGCAGGGGTGACAGGCCGGTCTCCTGAGGGCACTGAGGAGAGACGGGCACTGTATGATGAGGGGGACACCGCTCTTCCCCAGAGGGTACTGCCCTCAAAAGTCCTGAGCCACAAGCGTCAGGACTTCTTGGCTGACGTCTTCTTAGACAGAAGAATGGTCTGTAGATCCGGCTTCACCTTAAAAGAAGACTTAGACTGACACAACCAGAGCCTGCTCGGGGCAGGACCCAATGAGATACGTTTGGCAGGGGCTCCCACACCGCCAGGTGACCTATTAAGGGAACCAGTCTCTCGAGACTGACCTCTGGTGTACTTAGAGTGGCTAGCTCGGTTCAGAGGAAGAGAGGTATAACACCATGCTCTAACTTGAGAATTTTTTATATACCAAGAGAGCACTGTATTTAGAGAGTGAGGGAGGAGAAAGGGTGAGGCCTGTCTCCGATCCTTCTGCTGAATGATATATATATATATATAAATATAAGTATACAAAATATATATCTAACTTCTCAAAGCCAGATGAATATTCATCATTTAATTCCTCAGACTTGCAGCCAAACAACCAGACGTGAACATGGTCTGATTATAATATATGATGTAACAAAAATAATCGTGATAAATAGCCTGCAAACACATTTATACATTTGCACACGTTTGGGGGAAAGAGAGAGAAAAGGAACCTCCCATCTGCTCACAAATTCCCCCGACATTATTTGCTGCAGACCCGTAATGCACGCGTTACCGAGGCAAGCCACTCGATTCTATATTGCATAAGACTTTCTATCCTCGAGAAGAAACGCTAGCGGGAGCAGAGCTAAGCATCCAAGGAAATGCACACTTGTACACTAGGGACATTTTATGAATGAACACAGCCAGCTCCCTCAGCTCCCGCAATGTGCGTGCTCCACTCCAAAACAAACCACACATAAATCGTGTGCATCCCCACCCCTAATTATAGCGAGGGCAGGGAGAAACGAGCAATCTAAAATGCAGTGCTAACATCAATCTCCTCGGAGGAAGATAGCTGGAGCATAGAACTCTCACTCAAAGAGGGAAGAGACCGCAGCGCGGGCTTCCGAACCTCGAGAGAGAGCATTAGATTCATATGCGATCCCAATCAGCAACAGCCGGCCAGGAACCGAAGACTGCAAACACGGACACACTCCTCGAAGTGTGTCCCACTCCTCACTCCCAAACAACAACACAACGATCGCGTGCATTCACACCCATAATGTTTAGCACGTGCAGAGAAGAACACACAATCTAAAGTGCTGTCTGTTTAACTAGCCATATAGAGGTGATTGTGCACTGTTAATACAAACAACAGAAAATAAGACTGACAGGTTTCACACAGAGCGCTTGCTGAAAACACAGAAGCTATCGCTGCTCGTTTTGGATGCGCTTTTAAGCTCTCTGGTCTATACGTCACCCCGCCCGTGATGTTTCGCCATTCCATTGGACTGATTTCACATGTGATTCAGAGAGTGGGCACACAGGGGCGTTTCAACACAGCTCGAGTTCCTGAAGGGGAACAGACTGTCAGTGACCCTGAGCCTGTGCCATGTAATCACTGCATTAAGAGAAGAAGCTGAAGCACATGTGCAGTGTTTGTCTTACCTGCGTGTGTTATTGACGTGACACGGGCACCTCCTGTCACACTTGAGACCGTACAGCCCCTCTGGACAGATGCGCTCCTCGCAGCTCTCACCCGTGTATCCCGGCTCACACAGACACTCTCCGCTCACATGATAACACTGGGCACCGTTAACACAGCTACACACCTGTCTGCAGCCCACACCGTACGAGCCGACCGGACACTGATCCTGGCACCTGCCCACACACACACACACGCACACATTTTATTATTTTATTTGGATCCACTAGACGAGCAACAAAAATGTAATCCAAATACCTTTGAAAGTCATTTTGCAAGATGACAGGTACACATGGCTAACATACATTCACAATTCCTTATATTTATAACATTTAACACTCAAGGATAGACAAACCATCTTCATTTCCATATTTGTATACTCCATATAATGGCTGAAACTGCTGTCTTTTTGCTTTCATTTTTTGCAATCCACCCAACTGCAACCCTCTAATCACGTTCTTATGCACATGACCTAAACTTCCAAAAACTAAGGTAATTAACTTACAATGATAGTCAAGTTGATGGATAGCTTCAATCAGTGGCTGATATTTACAGATACAAATCAAAATCAAAATACAGATACCAAATACTGATCAAAAACAACAGCCAACCTCAATGAAAAATATAGAGTTCAAAGCCTTGTTTACAATCACATTGTCTGGAGTGTTTGGAATGTTTTTGAAATAGTCACTGACAGATGTGTTATGATAGAACCAGTTCAATTCAACAGTAGTATGCAGGTAAATCTTGCTGTCTTTATGTATTGTTTTCAGGTCCTTTACAATCAGATCAACCAGGCGATCATGTCTGGCCACATACAGTCCTTTGTAACAACAGCATCCATTTAAGACGTGGGCAACCGTTTAATTTTCCTGTTGATTTTGATGTAACAGACAGTAGGGGTTGTAATTTGACAGGTACCACATTGACAGACTGTATTTGGAAGACATTGTAGTCGTGCTTTAATCGTAAAAATTAGAATATCCTCTGAGATTGAAGGGTTTGCCAAAACAGAGTGGTATACTGAATGGTCGGCCGATTGGAGAAGTGCTCATTTTCCCTGCAGTGCACACATGCACACACACACACACACACACACATTGCAGCAGTCTTGAAGATGCTGAACAAGCTTCTGACTCACAGCGAATACAATCACTGCCTATCTTCAGTGTTTTGTTATATAGTAAGAGGTCAACAAATGTGTGTTTTTCCCTTTATTGTTACTTAACAGAAAGCAGCACATTATTATTTTAATCCTGTCACAGCACGTTTGGGAGTTAAATGTTTGTAATTGTAGTTCTCTGACTCAGTTCCCTCTCGAGTGGAACTCAACACTGCGTCATCACATTGATGCTATGGGAATGTTTCTGCGTGAGCCCGTGTCTGAACAATTTGTCTAAACATGCCAATACGATTGGCTGGACATATGAACATACAGTATAGCCATGACGTCCATAAATAGATGCCAGAAATGCATGCCCAACATCTTATTTGTCTTCAGAAGTCGTGTTTGTTGAGCATGTGTCGTCTACAAAATAATTCCTGTGTGAATTCTTCAAATCAGGACGAGGAACTCAAATGTTGCGCAGAAACCATCCTAAATTTGATCTTGCGATCATCTCTCAAATATGCGTACGTGTGATTCACAGAATGAACATATGCACAGAAAACACACCTACGCCTCTCAGATGTGAAATCTATGAATCGTAAATGATCTTGAACTTGTGCGCAACTGAATGGTTTCAGCTCTCTGCCTTGTAAACTCCTAATTAATGTCATTAACATATAAAAGATCACCAGTCATCATCCAAATGCTTTAATTCAGAACAGCGAGCTGCAAGAACAGCTTACATTTCCAGAAACCTGCAGTACTCCAACAAGAAAAAGTGAGTACATCTGCTCAGACCGTGACGTGACGCTAAGCACTTTTCCATGTCAAAGACCCTTTTTACAAATATGAACGCTGGCGTGGATTTAAGCGCATGCACACTCTAAGATCAAATCACGCTTTATAAATGAGGCCCATGGTTTCTGCATCTGATCCTTAGGGGTTGGATGGATGCTTCTTCTGAGCAGCGTGCAGTGGCCAGACTATGCTTCGACAGAAATCGATGATGGCTTCCTCACAGCAGCACAAGTGCAGTCTTCCTGCAGCTATCTCCTGTACTTTCCCGATCTTCACACTGAGGTACTCTGCTCGCTTACATACACAAGCAGCATCCTCGTTCTCAGCAGTGGTTGGTAGGGGTATGAGGCGAGCCAGAGGGTTGAAGAGATGTTCTCTGACATCTGCTTCATCATGGAAAACCTGCGTGTCTGGGACTCAGACTAAAGCCCCAAAAATGTGTACTTTCTCCAAATCAGAGAGCAATTTTCTGGGGGTGGGATTCGACCATGACACAGACACATCTGCCTCCTGCATGTGTGACTTTGATTGTAAGGTCTTTGCACGCTGAGTCCGAAATTCTCATCTGAAATTTTCGCACGTTAAAAAATAAATATGTTTATACACCTCACGTTGTGTCAATCACGTTTACACACTGCCTGTGAAACTTTCGTTCGTCATAAAAAAATTCGGACCAGGTTAGATTTTCTGAGTTTTCACATTCGTAGCAAGCATTTTGATAGGAAAGGATGACGAACATGAAAAAAAAAATCAGTCGGTCACTTTGCAGGCTTTTGTTAGGCCTCTTGAGATGCTAGAGTAGGTAAGCCTTCACCTGCTACGTTCCGTGCATGCTTTGAGGGTCCATGTTCAGCACTCAGGCCACTGGCGTAGATCCTCTCGGCTCTAAATATGATTTGATGGTTGCAATAGAGGTACTGCGGTCACTGAGCAGCGTATTTCGCACTGGATTACAGATGCTATTACCCTCTCCTATGAGGTGTGGTTTGGATTCACCTCTAAGGGTTATGGCCTGTCTCCCAAAGCCCTTGCTAGGGGTGCACTCTTACAGGATGTTTGTGCTGCGACAGGATGGTCCTCTCCACACACATTGGTCAGATTCTACAGTCTGGATGCGGATTTGACCCCAGGATCTAGAGTTCTTCAGAGGAACTCCGTTTACAGTCTGCCTTCAGCAAATGTCTGTGCTTATACACAGTCTTGTGGGCAGGCTTACTGCCTTGAGCATGGCGGCGTTGGAATTGTAGTTCCCATAGCATCAACGTCTTTTTCAAACAAAGTTCAAACTGTTTGGAGTGCATTTCTGACTTCTATTTATGGACTCAATGACGTGCTAGGGAACATCAGGACATCCATATGACCAGCCAATACTTTTCAAATGCCCTAATGCTTTAAGTTCAATATCTCCTCTATTCAGTGATTATCTTCCCAAACATTTATCACAAACCAGCACATTAGTCTCTGAATGCTCCCAGATGCAGGGAGAACTGAATGAAGTGGGAAAATTGTTTAAAGACTTTTTGCGGGGGGAAAGCGATGGAATCAATAAATGTCATCAAAAAAATGATTTGAGAACATTTAAATTGATGTATTCTTGTAGAAATGTGTGTTCCACTTGTAAAATGCGATTCGTCATTCTTCACATAAGCAGCATTAAAACTATGTAAAGAATGCACAGTAACAGCTGCTTTGTGTTGTCTGTGTCTTTACCGTATGTTCTGAGCTCATAATAAAACTTCTATCAGTCCCTATGGAGCTGGATGCAGTGATAGAGGGAACACAACATGTCATGAGGACACACTTATCACAGCCATTAGCAGAGAACCAGCAGCAGCACATGAAAGAGACGCTGATTCAGAGACTACTTTTCTGTTCAGTATCCCACAAATATCCTCCTGCAAACAGAGACTCACTCTCTTCAACTCTTAACCACTTAGTTAAGCACACACACACACACACACACACTGATGGCCTCCTCCCTGTGGCTGTTAAGCGATTATTTTCCAGCCGATAGGGTGTGGTGAAATCAGGGTAAACCGGAGGTAACAGTGACGTCTGGTGAAGCCAAAGCTCTTATTAAGTCATAAAAATGCACTTGCGTTTCTATTTCTGCAGTTTAAATACATGCTGCTCAGTCGCTCATACTGTAATTACAGCTGTGCATTCTGCTACTGCTGGATGTAACACCAGGAGAAATGGCTGCATGACTTACTCTACATCTACATCATTCTTCACATAAGCAGCATTAAAACTATGTAAAGAATGCACAGTAACAGCTGCTTTGTGTTGTCTGTGTCTTTACCGTATGTTCTGAGCTCATAATAAAACTTCTATCAGTCCCTATGGAGCTGGATGCAGTGATAGAGGGAACTCAACATGTCATGAGGACACACTTATCACAGCCATTAGCAGAGAACCAGCAGCAGCACATGAAAGAGACGCTGATTCAGAGACTACTTTTCTGTTCAGCATCCCACAAATATCCTCCTGCAAACAGAGACTCACTCTCTTCAACTCTTAACCACTTAGTTAAGCACACACACACACACACACACACACACACTGATGGCCTCCTCCCTGTGGCTGTTAAGCGATTATTTTCCAGCCGATAGGGTGTGGTGAAATCAGGGTAAACCGGAGGTAACAGTGACGTCTGGTGAAGCCAAAGCTCTTATTAAGTCATAAAAATGCACTTGCGTTTCTATTTCTGCAGTTTAAATACATGCTGCTCAGTCGCTCATACTGTAATTACAGCTGTGCATTCTGCTACTGCTGGATGTAACACCAGGAGAAATGGCTGCATGACTTACTCTACATCTACATGCATATGAGTAAATGCTGTTCTGACAGCCACTGCAGTGACATTAGGAAAATCAACTCTCTTCTGTAGTTCTGAAGTGCTTGTGCCCCAAACGCACCCTTTGTGAATATTCAATTCTATCTCTTGCATGGTTTGTTGTGCTTATTATACTAATTGTTTTCACTTTCACTGATGTTTCTATCACTTTATTGTATGATGTTCTATTTGCAAAGTTTGGGAGGAGCACGTTCAGATAATCACCCAATTACCACCAGATGGAAATGATCAGATAATCAACTTAATCAACTTAATTAGCATTATGGGAGGTATATATACAGCCAACTCACCTCTGTCCCACAAAAGTTAATTTTTTTTTAGCATCCCCCCACCACCCCATCTAATAAGATAAGGATGCGGAGGAAGTACTCTGGGTTCAAAGAGCAAAGTTTGGGAGGAGCACGTTCAGATAATCACCACCAGATGGAAATGATCAGATAATCAACTTAATCAACTTAATTAGCATTATGGGAGGTATATATACAGCCAACTCACCTCTGTCCCACAAAAGTTAATTTTTTTTAGCATCCCCCCACCACCCCATCTAATAAGATAAGGATGCGGAGGAAGTACTCTGGGTTCAAAGTAAATCCTGAGCTTGGATTCCTCCCCTCGGATAGCACGCCAAATACACATACTCTTTACTGTATCTGGTTATATGCAAGTGCGAGCACATGAAGTAACTTTAATCATTTTAAGCAGTGGATATGTTTATATACCCCAATATAAACATTACAGTATAATCTCAATTGATTGACATTTGTCGGCAGGATATAAAGCCCCACTCTGCTCTCACTCCCCACACTTTGAAAACTTCTGGTCTATACCAAGGGTTTTCAAACTGTTCCTGAAGCCTCCCCAGCAATAAAGAAAATGTGCAGTGCTGGAGAGACTCCAGGAACATTTTAATAATCCCTGGTCTATATGATGCATCTCAGACTAAGCAGCATTTGAGTTCATCAGAGCATGAGTCAAGGAGCTTTGTGCTTTGAACTTCTGAAGTCTTACAATGGCTTTGTGTGAAAACATATCTATACGTTTGGATGCGTTGACCAAGACAGGAAGTGGTTTGGAAGTCACTCTCCTCTTCACGCAGCCTACAGGGTGCAGGCAGCAGCTTTCCTTACCAGCCTGGGCTGCGTTTCACAAAAGCATTGCAAGCCTAAGTTGATCGTAGCTCCATTGGTAGCAATGGGTCTATGATGTACTCAAGCTTACAATGCTTTTGGAAAACGCAGCCCTGGTCTCCAGCTTTAATCCCCGCGCTCCAGCGCACCTCCTCAAGTCCACCAACGATACACTTCAGAGAACATCTGTGTGAGTTTTTGGTGTGTTTGAAGTGTAGGAACACCATCTAAACCATGGGTCTCAGATAATACGAAACCTGCTTCTCCATGCTCTTCATGATGCAAGAGCACATTGCTACTGCTCTGCAACCAGACACGATGTTTTCCAGAGCACTGAGACTGTTTCCAGCGCTGGAGCTAAACTGATCAGCACATCCTGCTGATCCTCTGTGATGATTAGTATAGACGGGGTTGTCTCAGCAGTGCCCGTGCTAATCCAGGAGGTGTTATTCAATTCAACACACAGCTATCATGTGACTTAAGGATGCTTGAATATTGTGCACAAGTCATACAGATGTAAGTCAGGGTAGCACCATATTTCATTGCTGACAGGAGTGAACATGAGACTGCAAGGGACAGATGTACAGTGTTCAATGGATTGTTCTGTTGTTTAGCACTGTGTCAGCTGTTCAGCAACACCTTTACTGTAGAAAGTTGCAGCCACCATTCACATGTTCCCATGCTGTAAGGTGTTAGAGTGTGCTGTCTCGCAGCGCGGTGTATGTACTGACCTCTCTCCTGTGTATCCTGCGCTACACACGCACTGTCCAGTGGACGGAGAACAGCTTCCTCCATTATGACACTGACACTCCTGTGAGCAGTTCTTCCCGAAGCGTCCCGCCGGACACGGCTGCCCGCACACCATTCCCTGAAAACAACACCAACACACTTCTGTCAAAACACAGTATTCTCTGATGCAAAGACAAACAATGTGTACAAATTAGACAAAACCTTTTAAAGGGGTCATGAACTGAGAAGCCAAAATTCCCTTGACCTTTTGACATATAAGAGGTCATTGTTCAATAAAAACATCCTGTAAGTTTTAGAACTCAAAACTTTCTCGTTAGTCTAAAAACAGCTTATATTGAAGCCAGACTGGCAAAACGACAGCACCTCTGCAGAAGATCAACGCCTGATTCTACATCACTGACTGTTTAGCCCCACCCACCGATTCTACAGCACCGTCTGTTTAGCCCCACCCACCGATTCCACATCGCCGTGTTTAGCACCGCCCACCAATTATAAATCACTGCCTGTTTAGCCCCGCCCACCGATTCCACATCGCTGTCTGTTTAGCCCTTCCCACCAACTCTACATCACTGTCTGTTTAGCCCCGCCCACCGATTCTATGCCGGTGCCTGTTTAGCCCCACCCACCGATTCTACAGCATTGTCTGGTTAGCCCCACCCACTGATTCTACGTAACTGTCTGTTTAGCCCCGCCCACCGATTCTATGCCGGTGCCTGTTTAGCCCCACCCACCGATTCTACAGCATTGTCTGGTTAGCCCCACCCACTGATTCTACGTAACTGTCTGTTTAGCCCCGCCCACCGATTATATGCTGCTGCCTGTTTAGCCCCGCCCACCGATTCCACATCGCTGTCTGTTTAGTCCCGCCCACTGATTCTACCCCACTGCCTGTTTAGCCCCGCCCACCGATTCCACATCACTGTCTGTTTACCCCGCCTCGCGAT